CACACTTCAGAAAGCAACAACTGCCTTCTGCTGGCCCACTCTGTACAGCTGAGTGCATTTTTCATACATGCATTGAAGCTAATAAAACCCAGAACACTAGAAATGCAGATCAGAGCCACAAGATGAAAGTACTACTTACCTTTAGTTTATATGAGATGTGACTACAGTGAGTTTTCAAAAATTAGTGAGCAAATCTGAATATTGGTCGTTTTATTTTATTTGTCCTATAGCAAGAAACTGGATTGCTGAAACTTTTCAGCTTAAATTCCTCTAGGCCAAAGCAGTGAGCTATTTATCAAAATGAACATGAGAATAGTAGAGATATATTGATCTGTCTCAAGGTTATGACTCCTTTTGCTTTGGTTTTCTCTTTTTTTTTACACTCCTCCATTAAAGGAACCCTAGTTACTTGCCTTCTTCTTCTGTTTGTCTCCATCAAATATTTCATTGCCTTGCTTCGATGCATTTTTTGATCCTCTTTCAATGCCCGACGTTCTTCTTGTAAATCCTGCTCAAAATGAAATATCAAATCTCCACCCCTAAGACTGTGTTAAGGACAATAGAAACTGTATGGAACAGCTCATTAAAAGATATAACAGCCTGTGTGATTGACCTTATATAGAGTAGGTCCCATAATTGTATGTTTACAGTCATAACTAACTTTATGCTCATCTAGAAAAAAAAATAATTGCACTTTACTTTTAAAAAGCATTTTAGGAGAGGCTTTACACTCATCTTTCATTGTACCACCAGCTGAAAAATCCCACCTTTATTATATTCATTTGAAGGGACATTTTGTGTAGTTACCTAAACCTGTAACATAAGGATGCAGATATGAGAAGGAAAATTTTAAATAGTAAACATCCCCTCATACACACACTCCCACACCCTAAAGGATTAGTTGTTTTCACTGAAATTGATTAACATCACTAAATAAAAGCTCTCCAGAGAGCCAGGTCAGTCCTGCATCATGCCAGTAATTATTTACGTAGTAAATAATCTTAAGAGTTTGCGTCAGTAGTTCTTACTACTAAGATTCAAAAAACAAGAACCCCCAAGTTAGGATGGAAAACCCTATTCCTAGTGGCATAATCTCCCAGAAAAGGGAAAACAAGAGAACTCCGAAGCTGCTGGAGCAGTCAACTTTCCCACGGCAGTTTCAAACCCGCAACGTGCAAGTCCCAATTTGAAGACGCCCCTGAGGCGGCCCCTGACCGCGGGGCAGGGCGGGGGCTGCGACACCGGCCCCGGCCCCGCCGCCGCCCGCCGGGCCGCACGCAGGCTCGGCCGGCCCGGGAAACGCCGCAGCAAGGATACGCAGGGACGCTCTGCCCGCCCGCGCGGTCCTGCGGGGCCCCGGGCGGGACCTGCCCCCGCGCCGCCCCGCCGGCCGTGCCGCCGAGCTCCGTGCCGCCGAGCTCCGTGCCGCCGAGCTCCGTGCCGCCGAGCTCCGTGCCGCCGAGCTCCATGCAGCGCCGGCCCCGCCGCGCCGCTCCGCGCGTCTCCGCGCCGCGTAGCAACCGGCGGCGCCGCTTCCTTCGCAACGGGGCGGGGCCGCGGCGGGAGCAGCGGCGCGGCGGAGCGCGCTCGGCGGCTCCGCGTTCGCCGCCTGCGGGGCCGGCGGCCGGGAGCCGCCGCGCCCGGCGGTCCTCGTGGGGCTGAGCTCCCTTTCGTGTCAAACCGTGACACGCCGCCAGGGTGGGAGCCGCGCGGGGGAGCCGCTCCTCGCTGTCCCGTCCCGGCGGGAGAGCGTGCGGACACCCTGCCAGGGACGGTGCTCGGCTCTCGCTGCGCTTTCCACCCTCTGCAGCCGCGGCATGACCTCTAAAAGCCGCGAGCACACGGGGTCCGGGCGAGCTCGTGGGCAAACTGCGCCCGGCCCCGTGTGCGGGCTTTGCAGAGCTCTGCGGTGCGGGTGCCTCTTAGGCTTCTTGAAGACCTGGAGATAACACCATAAACTTTTTTTTTCTTTTTAAACACAGGATGCAGAAATAACAGCAATAACCACCACCAAAGATGTTTTGTGCATCAGTTGATGCACAAAATGATGACTATTATATAAAAAATATTTACAAGTCTATGAATACAGCTACATAAAGAACA